ATAATATAAAACCATGATAAAAATGCACTTTTAAGTACTAATCATTTTGTCTAGGTGATAATGACATGATCAATTCCAGCATCGATCTTCATCACTTTGTCTAGATGATAATGAAGTATTTTTCTATTGATGGTCTTTAAAATCTCTTTTATTTACCCCCCAGTATGGGGTGTGATCCTAGTCAAGGTTATTTTAAGAAAGGTTACTAGGCTCAAAATGAGATTACAAATGATTTATTTTAGGCTCGCGAAAGGATTATAAGAAATAGTCTTTCCTCATCTCAAACTTACGCATTGAGGATTGATAGGTCTTGCTTTTATACACGTATGCAAAATGATTTATTCATTCAAATAAAACTCAGCTTTTGAGTCACCTTGTAGTGTTGTTTTTCTTTGTTTTTGTTTTTTTTTTTGTCTTTTTTTTTTTTTTAATTTTCCTATCTAAGAAAGTAGTTGAATTTCTAGAATGTATTTGTTTATACAAATACCAATATGATGTTTATTTTTGTATTCACTTTGGAGGTCCTAAAAAATATCCTTGAAAATATATGAGGTTATGTGTGGTTTTGGAAGAAAAGAAAATAATAAAGGATTCTTCAAGTTGTAGTTTTGTGAGCAAAAGTTATGCTTACAATGTTATTTACATGTGATAACAATAAAAAAGAGTATGATATGAACACAGGAAAACACATGATCTTATTTAACAAAGGCCCTTTTGACATAGACAGTTTTGTTCAAAAGCACAAAACAAAAGACAATAATAAGGTAAACTTCATTGGTGAATTTGTTCTCACACTAGCCTCAAGTCAAAAATTTTATGCAAAGGACTCAACGATGATGTAGAATAACACAACGGTCAAAATTTATATCCTTCAAAATTGATGTAACATTTCTACACCCATACTGGACCTTTGATGCTTTCCAGTTCCCTAAACATTCCATTCAAATATGCTTCAAGCAAGATTAGGCAACGAGTTTGTATTCACATTGGGGGTGTCTTCCAATTCTATCCACCCTGCCTTGATTAATTACAGAAGTTTTCTCTTAAAGGTGTTGCAGGTATGGATGTTAAGTCCAACAATACCAGCATGGTATTCACAATTGAGTTATGGCTTATACCATTTAGGATAAGGTGGCTACATAGGTGTCAGAGGTTATAACGCTACTTGTCTGATGCTCAATAACTTTTGATACATCTCACTCAAGGATACTGGTAATGAAGGTAGTTGTTAT